TTTCATGCACCTCCTCCAACCCCACCGCCCCCTCCCCCCTCCTCCCGAATGCATGCTGGAATCGTTGTTTTTTTGTTTGTTGTAGTTTTTCCTTCGGTTTTCTGCTGTTTCTTCGGCTCCCAACCTTTGGTTTCTTTGTTTTGTTTGGTTTTTCCTTGAGTTTTCTTGTTTTTTTCCTTGCCGTCGTGGGAGAATGGAAAGGAGGATGAAGGCGGATGGGGAGGGAGGACGGTGAAGGGAGGAGGAAGGCGGAGGAGGAGGAGGAGGAGGAGGAAGAGGAGGAGGAGAGGGAAGATGATGATGATGATGATGATGATGATGATGATGATGATGATGATGATGATGATGATGATGATGATGATGATGATGATGATGGTGATGGTGATGGTGATGGTGATGATGATGAGATGATGATGATGATGATGATGATGATGATGATGAGGAGGAGGAGGAGGAGGAGGAGGAGGAGGAGGAGGAGGAAGAGGCGGAAGAGGAGGAGGAAGAGGAAAAAAGACCACACATAAAATCCACCAGGCCCCGTTTGCGCCCCAAGCCGTTTGGACCCCCCCCCTCCCCCCTTGGGCTGCCTCCTCCGGTTATTGTCGCTGCGTCCCCACCGTCGGCGTTGCTGGCGGCCGCCAGTGCGGGCGCCGGCGCCGCGCTGGCGCCAAGGAGGGGGTGGGGTTTGAACCCCCCCCCCTTGGGAGGGCAGGGCGGGGGGTTCGGGAGGGAGAGGTTTTGAGGGGAGGGGAGTCCCCGTGATTCTGATCGACAGCGCCAAGTGTTGAGGTGGGAGCCCACCCCCTGGTTCGAAACGCGCCGCCGAATGTTCCCAAGGCAAGCGCCCGTGAAACGCACTCTCTCCTACAGAGGTAGACCCCGCAAAGCTGACTTGACCTCTTCTAGCTGTTTTTTTCTTGCACCAGGCCAGCCTCCATACAGGCCAGCCTACTGATCCTCAGCCACTCTTTCCTCTGTCACTGTTCAGCTTTACACCCTCCGTCTTTCGCTCATGTTCCAACACACCGGTGGTACCTCTCTCCAGCTCAGGTTCGGGGTGATCCTACAAAACCTTGTATCCATTTGCCTGAGACCATACTGCGTCATTGCAGCAGTGCATATCTCGAATACTTGGTGCTGCTATACCGCTTCAAGGCTCCACCCAGGAACCGAAGAGCCGTCCTACTGCTGGCTACAAGAGCGGGTCTACTGCTGACAAGAGGGACCGTGTGATGCTTATTTCTGCCATCTTGTTTTTGTTCACGCAGCTTGCCAAGCGGCACGCACTGGGATGAGAGATTAGCCGAGTTTGGCTAGAGTTGGTGGGGGTCGGGGTTCCCTTTGGCAGCAACTGCTCTTTGGCGACATTACGCCACTTTTTTACATTGCAGGTCTCACTTGCACACCGCCTCGGTCCACAACATTGCATACAGCATTTGTCTCGCTGGACCCGACGGCAGCAACTCCCTTTGGCGGCACAACGCCACGTCTTTACATCTTACTTTCCCTAGTTGCAAGCTCAGCGCACTTCTTCTGAACATGGAATTGACTTTTTCAGGTACCGGACCCTATACGTGAGCAATCCACCCACGTGTAAGGCGATCTGGCACCCTCCGTTTAGCACGGCGTCGTTTACGCCATTTGTGTGTGTTGCTTTTTGCTTACCGAGGTGGCACTGGTTAGTGCCAACCTCGAGGACCTGGCGGGCGCTTACTCGTTTCTACTATTATCCGTAAGGGCTTCGCCCCCTGCCGCCGGCCCCCTCTCTCGGAGAATGGGCCATGGAAGAGCTAAGTCATGAGGCCTTGGCGCTGTCGTGAAGCAGTATCGAAACTTCATGCGAAGCCGATTCGCAATCAGCAAAACCAACTGATCACAAGAGGGGTTACCACACCTGGCGATTGGTAAGACGTGTATGGTTTACGGGCTTGGTTACCACACCTTGCGATTAAAGGGCCGAGGGAGTTCTCGCAGTTTGGGTTACCACGCCTTGCGATGGATGTGCGTGAAGGGTGGCACCGAATTTCAGAAATGTGGCAAATCCCCTGTGTTTTTGGACCCTGACCCCGCGGATCTGCGTGAGGGGTGGCACCGAATTTCAGAAATGTGGCAAATCCCATGTGTTTTTGGACCCTGACCCCGCGGATCTGCGTGAGGGGTGGCACCGAATTTCAGAAATGTGGCAAATCCCATGTGTTTTTGGACCCTGACCCCGCGGATCTGCGTGAGGGGTGGCACCGAATTTCAGAAATGTGGCAAATCCCATGTGTTTTTGGACCCTGACCCCGCGGATCTGCGTGAGGGGTGGCACCGAATTTCAGAAATGTGGCAAATCCCCTGTGTTTTTGGACCCTGACCCCGCGGATCTGCGTGAGGGGTGGCACCGAATTTCAGAAATGTGGCAAATCCCTTGTGTTTTTGGACCCTGACCCCGCGGATCTGCGTGAGGGGTGTCGATTTCGAGCCCCCCCAGCAATTCAGACAACGCGCCCAGGAGGTGCTAAAAATCTGGTTTGGGCCTCCCCCCCCTCGCGCGGTCAATCAACTAGTTACAGTAACCAGCAAGAAGCAGAACTGTAACACTGGAAACTACAAGCTACAACTGGTACAGGAAACTGCGAACCTCGCGCCTACAGCCTGGTGGCCCCACAAGGGGGCCGGCGGATTATCAGCCTAGGCTTTACTTATCTCATGTCCCGCGGCGCCCGCCAGGTGCATCTTGACCCGAGTCGTACTATACTGCTTCTTTTTTCTTCAAGAACGCCACAGGGAAACCTTCGATCGGTCTAGCGTAAGAAGGAGGAGGAAGAAGAGGAGGGAAAGGAGAAAAGGAAGACGACGAGGAGGAGGAGGAGGAAGAGGAGGGAAAGGAGGAACAGGAAAATGATGAGGACGAGGACGAAAAGGAGGAGGGGAAACGTCGGGATGAGGAATAGCAAGAGGACCAGCAGCATCGGCGGGGGGTCGTTAGGCCGCAGCTCGGCCGGGCGATCTGTCGCGCGCAGGTGAGGGGGGGCGCGTCCAGTATATATATATATATATATATATATATATATATATATATATCAACCTGCGCATATATATATATATATATATATATCAACCTGCGCCGACCCGAGCCGCGCCAGTCGTGGCGCCAGGATTGGTTTGTACGCCCCCCCACGCTTAGCCAGCAGGGCGCATCCCTTGACACCCGGGCGTCGTAATAGAGCAGGGCGGGCCTTGCCGCCCTGCTTCGGGCCTGGGGACCTGTACGGATCAATTCGATTCGAGAGATCCCGAACAAACAGAGATTCGGGGGCCTGCCTCGTGACGCATTCACGATGTGTGGATACATGTGTAATTTTCTTCACTGCGTTCTGTTCCGGTCGACCAGCATAGTACGGATGAGCAATTGTCCATGGCTGCACTTGCATCCTTACCGCGTATCCTTATTCTACGGGTTACTTGTGACCGATGCGCACTGGGAGCCACTGAATTTCTGGGGGCGCCCTCCGAAGCGCCATCGCGATCGACGAAGCGTGTGCCCCTGGGCCTCTCACCCCACGCGCCTGATGCAAATTACCCAGGAGGGCCTGTCCACCGATGCTGCGCTCAGGATGCACCTTGCTAGGAGAGGCGCAGGTGGCTTGGCATCGCTCGGGCGTGTGATGTTTTCTTCCCCGGCGGGGACCATCCAGGAACATCTTGGAGCACCTTGCGACAGCATACACGCGCGACATCGATGAATGCAAAGGGAGTGGACGCTCGAGCAATGGCGAGGGAAAGGCGCAGGCGGACGTTGGTTGGCTGGCGCTTTCTGGCCAGAAACCTCTCCGAACCAGCTCCTATGCCCCTCTGGGGGGCCCAGCCTTACCCGTGCTCCCCCGGCCGCGCCCAGCGACGCGGAGGGCAAGCAGCGGCAAGGGGGGCAGCTGTCTCCTCGAGGAGGCCCCTCTGCGACCACAAAACAGGCGACACCACCCCGCCCACGGCCCTCCATGTTGCGCTACGGCCCATCGGGGGCCGTAGCGCATACAATGTAAAAGCCCACGCCAGATTTGCTGGTATACGCGAAGCCCTGTGGGGCCGTAGGTGGGGGGTGTCGGTTTGTTTTCTGGGGAAGCCGGAGTAAGGAAAAGGGGAGGATACGAAATGTGAGATGTGCAGTTTATATATTCGCCCCCGCCGGGCGCTCCCTTGGACACGCGGCCCCCCAGGCGTGTCAGCGGCTGCATGCCGCTGGTTCGATAACCCTTGTGCTGTCCTCGTTGTCCGTCCGCCGACAAGTGCGCCCGATATCCAGCGGACGGGGCTAGGACGAGGATAAACCCGTTCCAGAGCTTTCTGGAGCGCTCAGAGCGTTCTGGAACTCTCTGAGAAGGCCGCGGCGCCCGAGACATCCTCCAGAAATGCGGGATCTCAGAGATTCTCGGTTTATCCTCATCCGACTTTATCCTCGTCCTGGCATCGTCTTAATCCAGCTGCCTGCGGCAGGTCCCGCCACCGTGCCAGCCCAGCACGCTCGGGCTTCTTGGAGGAATTTTGTTAGGCTCTCTCTTGTCCTGAGCGGGGCCAGAAGGCCCAGAAACCGCCAGGCCCTGGTTGCCTCGATACGCCCGTTTTGAAACGCACCACGTACCGTGCTTAAAACGTCCAAGTCAATACGCTGCGTGTTGGCTCGGCACTTGTTGGGCTGCGTTTTGGCGAACGTATCGCGCCAAACGTATGTCTTCAGTCTACGTGTTGAGCTCCGTATCAATGCGCTACGTTTTGCGTGTTTTATATACAAGCGGCTAAGCGCCGGGCACGTCCAAAGTCCAGAACCATCCAAGAAACCCATCGCAGGTGGGCCAGGTGGCCAGGTGGGCTCTTTCCTGCCGATCGGGCCCCCCCGTCTTCTTTCAGTGCGGCCCGTGTCCCCCCGTCCCGCGCGCACGTGCCTCGGGCCATCATGATGTGCCCCCCACCGCCCCTCTTCCTGCCCCCCCCTCCTCGGCGCACGCCCAAGCCCTGCTGAGGCTACAACGTCAGCTACAACCCGATCCCGCCGGACATGTCGCCGGCGACTGGGGTGCTTTTCGTGCCTAGGCGCGATCCAGCGCCGCTCTCTCCGCCGCCTGGACTCGCACCACCCCGGCAGCCAGGTGGATTCCGCGGCGAGTTTGCGTAGACCCAGACATCAGGCGGATCAAGAGCATCGAGCAGGGCCCCTCTCGATTCGATCGATCCGATTCGATGTCGAGTTGACCCGGCTCGATCCGATTCGATTCCGATGTGTTGGCGTTCCGATGCGTCCAGATGTTAGCACAGCGTAGTTGTGTGTTCGTGGAGCAGCCCTTTGGATTTGATTTCGATTCCGTGCCGATCCAGCCAGTTCCGACGCATGATGCGATTCGATTGTAGGGCTGGTTTCTGACCCCAGGTTGCTCGAGACCTCCTCGCGATTCATGCAGGACGCACGGTTCAGCAACCCGCCTGCCTGACCTGGCCGTTTGGGCCCAGCTTTCCGACCCGCTCGTTAGGGTCTACCCGCACGACCTGCCCGTTTGGTTCCGCCACGTGTTTTCTGCTCCTAGCCTTGAGACAGGTGTGGCTCCTTACAGGCAACCCCAACAGTGCAATACATACAACTGCAAACAACTATATAAAACAAGCACATGTGTTTGTTGCACGTCTTCTGGAAACACAAAAAACATGTGTCAACAAGTGGTTACGTAGAGTGTGGAGTCCTGTGTACAGGTGCCGTTGAATGCAGGGCTATTTGGCGAGGCCGCGTCTAGTGCTGCGCACGCGCGATAGAGAGCGCAAACATAGGGGGCGGAGGAGGAGCAGGATGCGCGCAGAAATATAATAGCCCCCGACAGAAAAAAACACACAGATCGACAGAGATTGTGTTGACGCTTCGGGCATGCCCACCAGCCCATCCAGAAATGATGCCCAGGGGAGTTGAGGCTGTCAGGGAAGTGGGGGAGCATGCAGAATAACAAATCATGGGGGAAGCCGTCCGAGGCGAGGGGGAGCGGAGGGAGGAGGGAGGAGGAAGAGGAGGCGGATAAGGAGGAGGAAAACGAGGAGGAGGAGGAAAATGAGGAGGAGGGGGAGGGGGAACAAGGGACGATCATAAGAGCCTCCTCGGATGCCTCTTGGGAGTTTTTGGGAAGCTTCATGGAACGTCTGGGTGGCACGTTGGGTGCCTTGGGGAGCCTCTTGAAGCCTCTTGGGCGCCTCCTGGGCGCCTCTTGGAGGCATGTTGGGCCCCTTTGGGGGCCGTCTGGGCGCCTCTTGGGGTCCTCTTGGGGCGCTCTTGGGTGCCTTGGGGGCGCTCTTCGGGCCATTTTTCAGGACATCGATCAGCAACAAGGGGGGTCCAGGGTTACCCTCGTCATTCTCGAGTGCCCGAAAACGCCTCTTGGGCCCATCTTGAGGCGCTCTTGGAGCGCTCCTGGGCGCTCTTGGGGCGTCTTGGGGCGTTCTTGGGCCCTTCATGGGGCTCTCTTGGGCCCTCTTTGCGGCCATCTTGAGGCTTCGGAAGGCCATCAGAAGCGAAACGGCGAGAACGCAACACACATTGATTGCCCGTAAGTTTGGGACAGATGTCGGCCTCTTCGGGGCCTCCTTGGGGAGCTCTTTGGCGTTCTTGAGCCGTCTTGGAGCGGTCTTGAGACCTCTTGGAGCATCTTGGGAGCCATCTTGAGGCATCTTGGGGTATATTGAGCCATCTTGGAGCTCATCTTGGGCTCTCCGAGGCGCTCTTGGAGCCATCTTGGACGCTCCAACCCCTCGCGGGACCCCCGTCCAGGTCCAGGGCTTAGGAGAGGGGGTGGGGGGAGGGGCAAGCCCCTCTCCGAAGGGGAAGAGGGGCAGATGGACGACAAGGCACGCTACACAGCCTACGCCCTCAAGGGCTGGTGGGATTTTCGTCTGAGGTTTCTGGTGTTCGCCGGGGGGCTCGTCGCAATCAGCCGTTGCAGGCCGACAGCTTTCCAGGGCGACGGTTCTGTGCTTTTCGGCGATATGCGTCGAGTTTGGGGTTTGGGTCGATTGGGGCTGGTGCAAGCTGCCCCTCCCCCTCGCCGATGTTGCCTTGATTCTTGCCTTCCTCGGTCCCTCGGGCGAGGCCCTCGGGCCCTTCGGCCCCTCGCGCCGATGTTCCCCTCGGTCCCTCGGGCCCTTCGGCGCGATCGGTTTCGGTCCCTCGGCCGGGACCCTCATCGTTTGTTCGGCCCCGCCCGTTCGCGCAGGTGTTCGGTGGGCTCCCGAGAGGGGCGTCCTGGGCAGTCTTGGACAACCGCTGCATTATGTTGGACTGCCTTGGGCCATCTTTGGCCACTGTGGCCAACTGTGGCGGCGACGGACGACGACGACGACGACGACGACGACGACGACGACGACGACGACGACGACGACGACGACGACGACGACGACGACGACGACGACGACGACGACGACGACGACGACGACCACGACCACGACCACGACCACGACGACGACGACGACGACGGCGGCGCTCAATTATCGACGCTTCGCGTATCCACGCCAGTTCTCAGACTCCCTGGGTTTGCCGCTTGCACGTTTCCTTGGGCTGTCCTTGCAGACACCCTGGGATTGCACGCCGCCTGGCCTCTCAGACGCCCTGGGTTGCTGCCCCCCCCCCGCCGCCTGATCCGCGGCCCCCGCGCGCGCCCGGGAATTTAGTCGCGGCCGCAGCCCGACCGTGACCGCTCGCCGTCGGCGCCTCCGCCTGCGGCTGTAAAAAAAAAAGTATCCACGCCAGTTAGCTGCGGCCACCCTGGTGCCCACGCAGTTGCCTGGGGTTCGGACTCATGCCTTAATTCTACGGAGTTGACCCTGGTCGTCGTTTATCCGGACTTCCTGGTGCTTCCGACGCCCTGCATACTTGCACGCTGGCAGTTAGACTCAGTTTGATTCGCCCCTGCCACCCGCCCGCCGCTGGGCCGCCGCGTGAGGCCTCGGCTTGCTGCGTTAGACGTGGCCTGTTCGCGCTGCCTTTGCTTAGTTCGTCTCTGCGTAGCCCGCTCTGACCTGACCCGCCGCCGGCGCGCTCGCCCGCGGCCGCTGACTAACAAGCATCCACACCAAGCCTCTGGCTCAAGCCATGTCCTATCTCCTGGGGGGGTTCCACCCCCTGGGATCCGGGTTCGAGGGGGGCGCCCAGACGCGGAGCGCGGGCGGGCCGCGCCCGTCGGTGCCGCCTGCGCGGCGCTTCCTCCATACCCTCCCCGTCCCCGCCTTAGTCGATCTTGTGATGGAGGAGGGAACCGACGGATCGCGTGCTGTCGCCCTGGGGACCGATGTCGGGACCGAATGCGAGGGGCTAGTGCGAGGCTTGGGAGCCCCTGCGCTGCCTTCGGACAATCGAAACTTCGGACCCCCTGGGATCCCATGCGGCCGCTCGGGAGGTCCGTCCTGACCTGACAGTCCCTGTTCTTATTGCGGATGATCGGGCGGCTGATTTCGCTGATCGTTGTCACCCTGGGGAGGAAGTGTCGGACCCGCCGTCGCAGCCGCGAGGCAAAGAGGGTTTCGACCCGTCCGACGGAGCGGCCGAGAGCCGAGTACCTGGAGCCGATGGCTCTCCCCCCCTTCCCTGCCGCATTCCGATGCACTTGCGGCGACCAGCCTCGTACCTGGAGGAGACTGTTTACCTGATGCATTTGCGACGATCAGTCGCATAGCCAGCCATGAGTCGTTCATTCTTCTGCATTTGCGGCGATCAGCCCCTTTCCGTGGGATGGGCCTATGGACGAGCCACGCCATGATAGTGCATTTGCGACGATCAGTCGCACACCTGGAGCGGCGCCGCGGCGCAGGGTGGCAACGACGACGCCCGCGCTGCACCGACCGACTCCGACGCCCGCGCCTCCTCGCACAGGATCTCGTCGCCTGGTGACCGAACTGGGGCAAGTGACGCGCGACGCGACAGGGCCGCGCAGGGCGCCGCCCGACGGCGCGCCGCCACTGGGACCCCCTCCCGCGACCCCCCTTTCCCCCACCCGTGGGGGAAGAGATCAAAGGGAAGGGGCTTCCCTTCGATTCAACCACGATGTTGCTTAATTTCGCTTTAGCTGGCGCGCTTGAGGGGGATGGCCCAGGAGAGACCGGCGACGGTGATAGCGACAGCGACGACGACGAGGACGAACGGAAAAGCGTCGCACAACGCCGACGGCGTCGGCGGATTCTCATGACCTGTTTGGCTCCTTCTGCCGATCCTGCTATCCTGCTCCACTATCCGCTTTGATTCTCCTGCTCCTCCACTTCCTTCCGCACGATCCGCCCTATCCTTTACCTCCTTCCCTCGCCCAGTGTTGTGTGGTTGTGGCCGTGCCTGGGTTTACTCCCCCTACGGGTACGCTTGCGGTCCGCTACCATGAACTTGGATACTCACGACACGGCTGGCGTGGGCGAGAGCCGGATATACGTGTGGTCGCAAACCTTTCCAGCGCTAGGCACGCAGGGCTTCCGCAGGTGCACCCAGCGCGTGGCCTCCGGATGCTCCATGTATGAATTTAGCCATGCGTGTGTCTCCAGCTTCCCGGTGAAACCCCGCCCGCAGAGGCTGAACATCTGGACCGTGGAGTGGCACGAGCAGGAGAAGCAGCGCATCCGCTGGTTCCGCTGCCAGTACGGGTTCATGAAGGGCAAGCAGCACGCGGAGTCGTTCCGGCGGGCGCTCGTGCAAGGTGGGCCGCCGATGGAGGGCCGAACCGTCCTCCCAAGGGCGGGGAGACGATCGAAAAGCGACGCATGGGATGTCGGGGGTCATGAGGGGCCGGGGGAAGATAAAAAGGTGTATAGGAGGCCAAGGAGGGGGAGGTCCAAAAGCGAGAGGTGGCGAGGAAACCGCCCTGAGCCGGGGATGCAGCTTCAGCAACAACGGCACCAGCACCAGCCGCGGCAGCTGAGGTGGCACCAGCGTCGTCGACGACACCTGGCACCAGCGGCGCGAGTGACAGCGGCAGCAGCAGTCTCCAGCCGCGGCAGCAGGAGCGTGCGACGG